ATACATATATACATACATACATACATATATTTACCGAAGCTAATCTTACACTGTACACATATACTGACATACTAAACCGCCTGTTCATAGATACATACCTAATATAACCTTCCTCGCATATACTGGTAGGGCATGGATCATCGAACAACGGTTCGCCCGTACAAGTGGCCGGGGGTGGGGACAGGCAGTGATCTGGACTGCGACACGCTGCGAGTACAATGGATTATGTGGTGTTAACGCAATGAATTACTTTATGTTAACAGAGATATGTGTAATACATCGATCGGCAATAAAGTTATTTATAGAGTTTCAACGTTTGTTAACGTATAAAAAGACATCGATTGGTAACAGAGATATGAATAGCGTTGTTTCGTTTGATAAAGTAATTTATAGCTATGCATCGTCTGAGAATAGACTAATATATAGAGATACATAGTTTGATAACAAAGGTATTTACAGAGATATATCCATCGGTAACAGGGCTTTATATAGGGTTGCTTTGTTAGCGATGTCCGAGTGTTTCGCGATAATAGTGAGCGCGATACACGACTGGGTGTTAACCACGGTGGTAGTATAGAGTTTAGGTTTCAGCTTTGTCCGAGTGATTTTAGATGCCGGTATATAGGTGCATAAGTTGACTTTTCAATACGAATCAGCATGGGACATACATATGAACTCCCGAACAACCGGTGAAAGGATAGTGACCTCGACCTAATAAGTATTGGATATCTATGTGGTAATATAATAATGGTCACATTTTTGTATATACACATAAGCATACATATATATATATATATATATATGTGTGTGTGTGTGTGTGGTACATACCAATGCACCTCTCGCCATCCGCGTAGAAGCCTTCATCGCAAGTGCACGTGTAGCCGTCTCCGATATGCGTCTCCTGTAGAGGTGAGGAAAGGGACAGAAAATGAGTCCATTGGACGTGGATTGATGGGAAGTCTCAGATATACTGACCATTGTAAACAGAAAACCAACACTACATATATAAATATACACTACTACAAGATACGTTATGTAGATACTGCACATTGTGAAGAGGCTAAAACTTCACAACGGGGGTCGGTTGCGGCTCACAGGTCCACTTGGCAACAATGAGACCACACTACTTGCGCGCGTGTGCACCCGAGTCTCCCATTCAGGAACGGTCTAATTTTTACAGGTATACGCATGCGTATATGTCCCGCTACACTACTCTTGTGGGTGCATATAGTAGGTAGATAAGCACTCTGTGTGTGTGTGTACATAAGTACCTACATGAGGGAACGCCATCTATCTAACCCCTAAGTATTCTTGACTGCTAAACCTCAGTGTGAGTAGGCTTGGGCGTGCTTGGACCTAGACTTTATAGCTATCCATACACATATGTGCTTACAAAACTATATATATCATTGGAACATACAGGGCAAGTGGGCGTGTCATCGGCCATCACTCACTTGAGTTATAAGCTTACTACGCCCATTGGCGCACGTTTGGTACTCGTGCTATACCACGAAATAATAGCTTAGGGGCCAAAATGAGCGTAGGTACTCAAATACAACTCAGTCCAGATGAACAAACACTAAGATATGCATACCAGTATACACGTATACACGTATACACGATATATATATATATATATATATATATAAATGCATGTGTATGTGTGTTCCTATAACAACAGCCCAAGTAACATACACATAGCTGCATATAGCTCTGAATGCGCAGGCTACACATACCGGGCAAGTGCACGTGTACGTGCCGTCCACATTTGCGCACATGGCCACAGGGTCACATGTGTGATCACCTGTCTCACACTCGTTGATGTCAATACACTGCCCGTGTTGAAAGAAAGAAAGAAGTAGAAATGAGGACGACATCGAATTTGACCCTTATAT